GCTCTCTCCTCTCTCTTCTTTCTGCTTTCCTCTTTCTCATGCCCTCTCATTCTCTCTCTCCTCTCTTTCTCTCCTGCTCTCTGCTCCTCCTCTCTCTCGTCTCTTCTTCTTGCTTTCTTGTCTCTGCTTCTCCTCTTTCGTCGCTCTCAGGCGCTCTCTCCTCATCTCTCTCTCGCCTCCTCTCTCTCACACTAACTCTTCCTCTCTCAACTGCCTCGTCTCTTCATTATCGGCCTCGTCTTTTTACTCTCTATGATACTCACACGCGCTCTGCGCCCTCAGTCCCACCTATGCCTCACGTACACTGATTACGCTATGGGTTTGTTGTCCGGCAGCCCCCGCCCGCCCGCCGCCTTGCCGACCGTGCACTTGCCGACTGTGTTAGTTTGAGAATTTCAGCGCGTCACGTGGTGGCGGGTTGTTGTCGGCTGCCCCCGCGCCCCTTGCCGACGTGCTAGCTTGCCGACGTGTTAGCGTGTGTATGAATTAAGCGTCGTCCACGTGTCCGGTGGGCGCGACGCCCTCCACAGCCGCAACGACGGTGTCACCGTTGACGCGGTCCGCTCGTCCAGTGGCGAGCAGATTTTTGCATATATATAGCGAGACTTTAGATCGTACTCCTTTTGACCTTTTCTTCATATTTCGCGCTGTTCTTCTCCGCTCCTTCTGTCTCCCTTCCTCTTCTGCGTCTGCTTCCACTCTTCTCTCTCTCTGCTCCTCTCTCTCTTCTCTTCTCTCTCTCTCTCTCATCTCTCTATTGTGCGCACTTCTCTCGCCTCTCTCTCTCTCTCTAATCGCGCTCGCGCTTTCTCTCTCTCTAATATCTGCTGCTCGTCCATCCTCGCTGGATACTCACTATTTCTCAGTCGCTCGTCCTGCCATTTCTCTCGCTGTTTCCCTTCGCGTTCTCTCGCTTCTCGGATCGCTCTCCGCCCTCGCTCTCCTCCTCTCTTTCCTCGCTCTTCCTCTCTTTCACTCTCTCTCGCTCTCTCTCGCTTTCTCTCACCTCCTTTCTCTCTCACTCACTCCACCGCTCGCGCTCGCACTAGTCATAAAAACGAGGAATTGAGTTTTTGTCTCTCTTTCTCTCTCATTCTTTCTCTGTCTCTTCCAAATTTCTCCTCTCTCTCCCTGTGACTGTGATAAATCTACGAGCGCTCACTGTCTCTCTCGTTTTATTTTCACACCACCCCGGCCCTGTTTGTCCGGTTCTCTCCTCGGCTGATTTCCGCCGAGTCACGGCTCTTTTTCCTACAACGATGTATGTGTTACACTGCGCATGCGTGGCTTACTTTCCCTGCCGTCATGGCTTCCTGATGTTTCCGGTGATGGCGAGGAAAGCAAACGGTGGGAGAGATAATGAGCAAAAGAAGAAAAGAGAGTGAGAGACCATGGAAAAGTGAGAGCGCGCGAAAGAAAGAGAGCGAGCAAGAGAGAGAGCAAGAGAGAGACGCGAAGAGCAAGCAAAGAGAGAGAAGAGAGAGCAGAAAGAGAGAGATAGAGAGAGAGAGAGAGAGAAAGAAAGAGAGAGAGAGAAAGAAAGAGAGATAAGGAAAGAGAGAGAGAGAGCAAGAAAGATAGAGAGAGAGAGGAGAGAGAGAGAGAGAGAGAGAGAAAGCAAGAGAGAGAGAGAAAGGGGTGAGAAGCAAGAGTTAAACCGAAAAGAAGAGAGCGCGCGCACTTGCAAGCGCGCAGCAAGCAACTGCGCATCACAGCACCCCGCTTCCGCAGCCGCCCAACAGAGCAGATTTCAGACAGACGTGCTGCAGCAACAGCGCGGAGGCGTCCGTCATCCGTGCTCAGCTTCCCGCTTCGGAGCTCCGGCGCGGTAGCATCCGCATCCCCGAGCCGATGAGCCGCAGCTTCTTCTTCGGCTTCCGCGCGGCGTGTTGACTTTCACGACGTCCCGTGAATTCACTTCGTAATCAATACGGCTCCAACTTGCCACTCGACAGGTGTACGTCCGCAACCGCTGCCGCCACTGCTGCCGCCGCTGCTGCTGCTGCTGCTCCTGCCCCGCCTGCTTCCGGCGGCAGTCGACAGGCCGAGCGTCTCAGCAGGCGCACTGCCGCGATCAGTGCAAGAGCGCAGCGCTCGTCGTGAGCAGCGGCGACAGAGAGAGACACACACACACACACAGAGAGAGAGAGAGACAGAGAGAGACACACACACAGAGAGAAAGAGAGATAGAGAGACACACACACAGAGATAGAGAGCTAGAGAGAGAGATCGAGAGAGAGAGAGAGAGGAGGAAAGAGAAAGATAGAGAGCAGCGACAACAGCAGTTTCTATCGTTGGTGTAAAATCTTGTTCTTTCGAGAAATAACGCCGAGAGAGAGAGAAAGAGCACGCCCGAGAGAGAGAGAGAGAGAGAGAGAGAGAGAGGACAATAACAGCAGTTTTTATCGTTGGTGTGGAACCCTGTTCTTTCGAGAAATAACGCCGAGAGAGAGAGAGAGGCGGAGAGAGAGAGAGAGAGCCACAACGACAGCAGTTTCTATCGTTAGTGTGAAATCGTGTTCCTACTCGAAGTAGCGCCAGAGAGATAGGAGCGAGAGAGAGAATAGAGAGAGTAGATGAGAGAATAAGAGAGAGAGAGAATAAAAGAGAGAGAGAGAAAGAAAGAGAGATAAGAAAGAGAAGAGAAAGAGCAGCGACGAAAACATGCAGTTTCTCATCGGCAGTTTCTATCTCGTTGGTGTTGAAAAAACCTGTTCTTTGCGACGAAATAACCTGCGAAGAAGTAGACAATCAGAGAGACTGAGTAGAGAAGAGAAAAGCGAGAGCGGCGAAGAGCGCGCCAGCCAACAACAGCGTTATTATCGGTGTGAAGTCTTCGAGGAGTCGACGCCGAGAGAGAGTGTGAAAGCGGCCGCGCGCTGAACAGCAAGCAGTTGCTGAGTCGGTATGAAGTTAAAACTTCTGTTCTATCAAATGAAACCGGGTGCTGCAACAGCAGCGCGGGGGAGAGCGGGAGCGCGCACACAACAACAGCAGTTACCGTGTTGTGTGAAACCACAGATTCTTTCAAGAACCAACACAGCGAGAGAGCGGGAGAGGGAGAGAGCGCGCGCAGCAGCATGCCCTCGTGAATCTGAACCTATTCGTCTGAGGAGGCAAACAGGCGGAGCGGCGAAGAGAGAGAGAGAGAGAGAGAGAGAGAGACATGGCTTCCTTCTTTGATGTGAATCCTTATTCTAGCTAAGCTGCCGCGATAGTTCATCAGTTTTCCTGTCTTTTGTGAAGCTTTTTTTGCACGACCGAGGAGAGGGTTCGCGGGGTGTATGAAATAAGAGGAGGATGTGTGAGCGAGAGGGGAGAATAGAGAAAGAGAAGCAAGACAACGATCCGTGAGAGTGTGAGGCAAGGCAGGCAATTTTCCTGGTGAGTGTAAGCTTCTATTCATACTTCGAGAACACCCGTGTTTGTTTTTGGGTTTCCCTGTTCTCCGCGTTGCATGCGCCGGTGGCCTGCCGGAATCCTGAACCGCCGCCGTGCCCGGGGAACCGTGGCCGACAAATCTGTGAGGCGACTTCGCAACTTGGACTCTTTTCCGCTCGTGTCCCGTGTGTACCGCCGCGTGCGGCGACCCGCCGACTTCAAACGTGGCCGAGCATCTCAAACGTGCCGAACACATTTAAAGAGTTCAACCGCGTCTTCATAAGCACCGACACTGAAGATTTGACGATACGCGTCACCCACCTACGTCACTTCTTCATCACGCGACGGCGCCCACGTCGTCACTTCCTGCCGACACTCTACCCCACGTTCACCGCTTCCATGTTACCTAACTGTACCCGACGTCCATCCACTGGTTCTGCACCGAACGATCTCCCGCCAACCGTCATCAATTCCTTGCCAGCGACGCGGCCGCCCACGGTCATCACTTCATGCCACCGACCGCGCCCCCACGTCATCACCTTCCTGCCATAAATGTCTCAGCGGGAGCAGGC